TGTCCTATTCAGACTTCATCAGGCAGTTCTCCACGCTGGAGATCTGTAACTTGACCCCAGACACGATCATGAGTGACGATGTGGGCCACTGGAACCACTACCAGTTTGAAGGGATGTGGAGGGTGGGCTCCACTGCTGGCGGCTGCCGCAATAACCAAGGTAGCAGAGAAACCATGTGTGTGTCTGTGCAAGAAGTTACACTGCTTCATATAAATAATTACACGTTGTGTGTTCCAGCCACATTCTCGTCCAACCCACAGTATGTGGTGCGTCTGGAGGATGTGGATGACGACCCCCTGGATGGGGAGGATGGCTGCACCTTCCTGGTCGGGTTGATGCAAAAGGACGGACGACGGAAAAAGAAGCTTAACCGCAACCTTGAAACCATTGGCTATGCCATTTATAAGGTGTCCTATAATAACATGTTTAATATGAAGTTCTCTGTATTTAATCAATTTTTAAATGTTTGACGGTCTTCTAAATAACTTTTTCTGTCTGTTTCCTTTTTACAGGTCCCAGATGAGGTCTGTATTTATACTGTAACATGCAAGTAATCAGAGGTGGGAAGTACAATTTTGTAAATGGTGTACTTTTACTCCACTACATTTAGTGTATGCCTTTAGTTACTTTGCAGGTTTTGATTAATGATGTGAAATATAATCAACACTTAAATAAGACTTTGTTTAAACCTGGAGTAAATTCCCAAGCTATCCTACAGTATACAAAGTAATTACAATTAGCTGCACCTTTACCAACTTTGATAACACTTTAATGCATCAATAATTATAATCAAAACATATAATACATATTATTCTGAAATGGACCAGTAAGTACATTTACTTTTGATACTTTAAGTATATGTTGATGCTATTAATTTTGTACTTTTATTTGAGTAACCTTTTGAGTGCATTACTATAACTTGTAACAGAGTATTCCTACACTCTGGTACCTCTTTTTTCTCATGTACAAGATCTGAGTACTTCTCCCACCTCTGCAAGCTATGATCATTTGAATGCAACTTGAGTTTGGGTAGGTGTTTGACCTATCAGTAGAAAAGCCCCTTTTCCTGTTGATGTTCAGCTCAAAGGCCGCAGCAATGTTCACCTGGGTCCAGATGTCCTGCTGCGACAGAGAGCAGTGGCCATGAGCAGCACCTTCATCAACACACGAGAGGTGTGCGACCGCTTCAAACTTCCTCCAGGAGAATATGCCATAGTTCCCTCGACCTTCCAGCCGCACAAGAACGGCAGCTTTGTTCTCAGGGTCTTCTCAGAGAAACAGGCTGCAACCAGGTATCAGTGCTACAGCAACATATAAACACTGAGGGACAGCTGCAGGAGAATGTAAAGTTCAGAGCTTTAGCTTATACAGCCATCTAGTGGTCAAAGCTCATACGCCAACTTTTAAACTTAGAGCACAGTCAATGTTATTTTCCTGCACACCAACAGAGTGTGCTCAAGCTGTGCATTTGTATATGTTTCAGTCCACTGGAGGAGGACATTGATGCTGAAATCGAGGAGGTATGTACATACACAGAGTGATTTTGCATGGATTATGAAGTGTGGGCGGTGGTGGCAAAGTCTGGAAGGTCACCAGTTCAAGTCCCTGAAAGACCAAGTGCTACAGAGTTCCCTGAGCAAGGCACCGTTCCCTACACTGCTCCCCGGGCACCGTACATAATGGCAGCCCACTGCTCCTAATCCCATCCTAACACTAGGATGGGTCAAATCCAAAGACTGAGTGCAGCAGTGGCTCAGTCTGTAGGTACTTGAAGGACCGCCCGTTCACATCCCAATCGGACCAAAACAACACAAGTGGACTGGTAACTGCCGAGGTGCCCCTTGAGCAAGGCACCGACTGGCTGCCTCTCCAAAAAAAATGCATGTGCATGTGTTCACCTTTGTGTATTTGTACTGTGTCTTGTATAACAAAAAACGTAGTACTGCGATTGCGTGTTGAATTCAACACCCATGAATATTTAAAAACATCCAAGAATTGTCAAAGCTTTTATTTGACATGAGTGACCTCTCTTTGTTTCGCTCTCACAGGAGGAGGTATCTGAGGATGATGTGGATCCTCATTTTAGAGAGGTCTTCAAGCAGATTGCTGGCGATGTACGTAGAGCAGCATGATACAAATGTAGTTGATGAAACACAATCAACTATATCCCTAAAAAACATTCTAATATGCAATTTTCCAACAGGATATGGAGGTATCTATCTTTGAACTGGTTAAAATGTTGAACAACATTGTCTCTCACCGTGAGTATACCTCTTACATATATATACAGTAGTATACCTCAAATATGTAATGTATATATACTGATATACTGTCTGCACGTAGTCTTTTCATTTTCTTTGAGTTCCAAATTGGGGCTAGTTATGTTTGTAACTTTCCTGCAGGGTCTGACATCAAGACAGATGGCTTCAGCCTTGAGACAGGTCGCCTTATCGTCAGTCTGCTGGATGTATCCTCTTTAAGAAATGATCTCTCAACTTTATATTTGTTTCTATTTGGGTGCATTATTATTGGGCAAATAAGATATGTGAATGAAGGAATTAAATTCATAATCCATGAGGATCTTTTTATAGACCTAAACACTCCTCAGAAAGATGAAAGTGCCAAGCTGGGACTGATGGAATTCCACTTGCTTTGGGGAAAAATCCAAAAATACCTGGTAAATTGGGATTTATGTGATTTGAAATACGTATGGCCATGTAGGAATATCTATCTGTATCTATTAACACAACACATTGTCAAACAGGATATCTTCAAGAATCATGACACAGACAATTCGGGCACCATGAGCTCCCACGAGATGAGAGGCGCTGCCACTCAAGCAGGTAACAAACATTATCTTGTGAAAAATCTCATACACTACTGTTATGTCAGCTGGTTATGTACGTGTTGTATACAACAAATACATTTCTTATTATTTATTATGACCTTAAAGCTTCTCATATGCTTCGCTGCTTTAAAAGTTAAAACATCTGCAAGTACATTGAATGGCTTGAATTCACGAATGGTATTTGTTTTCCTGATAAGAATCACAAATGTAGATATGTTGCCCGCATAATTTAGTTATCTTTGAATAGAGTGTGCCTCCATAGTTGACATAAGCCTTTACCAACTTCAAAATCCGACAAATCGGACAGAAAATCTGAAACAGCTGTGTGTGTGTGTGTGTGTGTGTGTGTGTGTGTGTGTGTGTGTGTGTGTGTGTGTGTGTGTGTGTGTGTGTGTGTGTGTGTGTGTGTGTGTGTGTGTGTGTGTGTGTGTGTGTGTGTGTGTGTGTGTGTGTGTGTGTGTGTGTGTGTGTGTGTGTGTGTGTGTGTGTGTGTGTGTGTGTGTGTGTGTGTGCGTGCGCGTGTAGGCAGTTACTGGCAGACTAGATAAACCAGTTGGGGGACTTCCTCCCTGCAACAGATTTTGTTCATGTATATTTTTATACAAAACAAGCATGGGCGAGGCTGTGTAACTTTACTCTTCCATTGTCACCCTGCTACTACCTGACACCTTTCAATAACTATATTTCCCAAGGATCAGAAATAATGCATCTCTATGAAACTGACCCTTGCTAACAGGAAATGATGGTGATAACTGACGGCTACAGTATCTTTCTTTTCCAGGTTTCCACATCAACAGTGCTGTGCTGCAATCCATTGTCAGTCGTTACGCGGATGCTCAGTATGCCATAGACTTTGACAGCTTTGTAGGCTGTCTCATTAAACTGGAAATGCTCTTCAGTAAGTGTCAGCAAACCCAACAATCTGATATGATCTGTTTCATGTTTACAATATCAACATTTCCGTCTCTCCACCAGAAATGTTTAAGTCTCTGGAGAGAGCTGACGCAGGAAATATCGAGCTGGACATGCAACAGGTGTGTGAGAGAATAACAAAAGCTGCGGTTTTTTCGGCACTTCTAGTTTGGCTGGTTTTTATAATTTTGTTTCCTCCTACAGTGGCTGTGCCTGGCGATCTACTAAAACTGAAGAGGAGTCCAGGGATGACACTTTTGAGATATATGCTGAAAGAAAAATGAATTCATTTCATTCAAAGATACTCTTTCCAATAATAAAAACCCATGGACTTTCCCAATATGTTCCAAATGCATGCATATTGCTAAAATGGATTTGTCAAATTAAATGATATTTGCTGATTACAAACATGGAGATATATGTATGTAGTATCCCTCACACACAATATACCCTTTTTAAATCCGTTTTTGTGGTGTTTTTGCTCTTTTAACTTTTGCAAAACTTGATAGAAAATCAAGAAAGAAAAAACAAAGACATGTTTTCCTCTGGTGGAGTTCCGTCTAATCCAAAATTCGATTCACAGGTAGCAGTAAGCTTGACTCGGACAAAATACGTCTCAGGAAAGTTTGTTTGACTCTTTACTTAACACAAAATGTATCAAAATACAAACACATATTTTCACAGTTCAAAAAACGATGTTGCTCTGGTCTTCTTTCTCCTTCTCACACACAATCACCAGCAGCTGCCGTCAGCTATAACGTCTCGTAATCACAAAACAGCTGCGGTCGTCTGCCGTCAATTCCACACGGCTGGTTCAAATAAATGATATAATAACACTATCAACAAAGGATTATAATATACAAATATATCAAACAGTACATTTTAACATATGGCTCCTACATCTGGACTATCTGTGTTTGTTTTATATAATAATGTACAGACCAGACAGATCAAATGGTTGAAATAGTTTGAGATATGAGATTACATATTCATATTGCTTGCGGCTCAGTCTATTTGTTTTTGTTAATTTATCTTGGTCAGATATTTTAAGGACAAAAACAGTAACGCTGGTGTTAAATATGACAAATGAGGTAAAAGACATTAAATAAATCCATCCATGTGGGCCGCACCTGGGTCAAATATGCCATCAACCAATGCCAGATAGGCTGAATGCTGCAGGTGAGCCAGAGTTAGTGTGTTGTCTGTCATGAATAATAAAGGGTGTGGAGACATTTGAGCTGCATATTCTACACAAAGCCTGTCTATCCACACACACAGACCCGCTGGGAGACAGTCGTAGATAGTCAGAGATTTTTTAGAGTTAAATAAAAATGTCTGGCATTGCATCTAAACTTCAGCACAACCGAGAGAAATCCCAAGGGATAGGAGCCAACTCTAAAGCGGTTAAATACCTGAACCAGGACTTTGAATCGCTGAGGAACAGCTGTCTGGAGAGAGGGCAGCTTTTTCAGGATGACTGCTTTGAGCCTCTGCCATCATCCTTAGGCTTCAAAGATCTGGGACCAAATTCCTACAAAGTTCAGGGCATCCAGTGGAAAAGACCAAGGGTGGGTACAAACAGAAGGAAATCATTTAAATTATTGAATTATATTTTAAAACTGGATTTTGAAGATGATACCTGTCCCTTGTGCATCATTTACAGTACAGTGCATTTCAGTGTATCTAATGAATTCAGTTTGTCAGAAGTGCTATTTGTAATACTTTGGTCATGTACACTTTTACATACTAAATGTCAGTTTAAATGCTACACATAGGCATAAAGTGTCTTGTTTTGCCCAGTGTATTTGTATACAAAGTAAAGCCTTAAAAAATATATATAAAAGCAAAAATAAAAGCAGTAACGGCATTATAAAATAAAAAGCACTAGTTGAATTAAACTTGTTTTTCCTTCAGGAGTTGTGCTCCAAACCACAATTCATAATTGAAAATGCTTCCAGGACTGATATCTGTCAAGGAGCACTTGGTAAGACACACAAACACTCCTTTTGAAACTACCAAACACTCCTTTGCTTTTGTAATTTTCTTATTGAATTCACATTCAAATGCATTTTGATGTCACAATGAGATATTTACTGTATTTTACAAAGAACACATTGATTTCCATCTTAAGCTATTTGAATGAAGGACTTTGCATTGCTTATCTAAGATAGCAGTTAGCAGATGTGAACGAGGTGACTGACTTACAGTATGTATGTCCATTATTATCATTTACTTAGTTTCATCTTTGGAAACTTTTGCCAGTATTGTGTTATCTAACACCACTTGAAGAAGATCCAAACCTCATAACTGAAAAAATGGCTGAACCCTGACATCAGCTGTCACTCATTAACTCTTGTCTCTCCACGCCCGTTTGGCAGAAAGCATCTCCATGTGTGGGTGAGATTGAGATGTTTACAGCTAACAAGCAAAGGAAGAAAATATAATAGCCATTACTTAGCTCACAAAAGGTCTGTGTGTATGCATACAGAGTATGTTCTGGAGATGTGTCATGATGAAATGCCCATTATTCTAACACTGTTAAATTGTGTTCAGGTGACTGCTGGCTCTTGGCAGCTATTGCCTCCCTGACTCTCAGCAAACAGGTTTTGTCTCGTGTTGTCCCCCACGATCAAAGCTTTGAGAAGAACTACGCTGGCATTTTTCACTTTGAGGTACAGCAATTCAACACCACAACCTTATTCTTATAGAAATAAAGTGAGGTTTGATTTGTACTAGTTGTGTCTCTTCCCCGTGGCTCTCAGTTCTGGCAGTTTGGTGAGTGGGTGGATGTGGTGGTTGATGACCGCTTGCCCACCAAAGATGGAGAGCTGCTGTTTGTTCACTCAGAGAAGAATTCAGAGTTTTGGAGTGCGCTGCTGGAGAAGGCCTACGCCAAGTATGAAAGAATGAAGCATCAGGATACATTGTGTATGTTTCAGTATCTCGTTTTCTGGTCGCGTCATTCATGAACTTCTTATTTCTCTAGGATTAATGGATGCTATGAGGCTCTTTCTGGAGGCAGCACCATTGAGGGTTTCGAGGACTTCACTGGAGGCATTGCTGAGAGGCATGAACTGGGGAAGGCAGGGCCCCGACTCTTCAAAACCATTAAGAAGGCCTTGGATAGAGGGTCGCTTCTGGGATGCTCCATTGATGTTGGTTTGAGATTCACGTTTCACCCTCAGAGATTGGAGTCCTGGATATATATGATGGTGTTTATCTTCAAAACGTTTCCTCTTTATCCCAGATTACCAACGCGTCGGACTCAGAAGCCGTCACATATCGCAAGCTGGTGAAGGGCCATGCCTACTCGGTGACAGGAGCGGAGCTGGTGAGGGAATACCTGTGTTTTTATTAGAGCCGCAACGATTGGTCGATTCGTACATGCTTTTCTTTTTTAATAAACCTTCATTTTTCAAACCTCAAAATATGGAGATTTGAAATATATTATACACAAAGATCTCCAGGTATAAAATGAAGCTGAAGTGGCTACCATGTGTTCTCTAAAATGTAATATGTTACAATTAGGTAACTGAGGCATGATCTCTTTAGCTAGTTTTGTAATATTTATATTGCTGCTATAGTGTTTCCCTTTTGATTTTTTTTTTTTGGTTGAGAGTTATCGACCCTTAATTCTGTTTCAGGTGGAGTATAGAGGAGACCGGGTGCAGTTGATCAGGATTAGAAACCCATGGGGTCAGGTGGAGTGGAATGGAGCCTGGAGTGACAAGTGAGAATGAATATGGTCACATGTGCATGTTACCGTAGTAACTGTGAGCATGTTATCATAAACTCAAATTTGTATTACATTTTCCTGGTTTGGTTTAGATTCTGACAGGTGACATTGTTAACTGATCAACATGTATCATTTGAACTGCTCCCATTTTCTTCTTATAAATAGGATTTCCCAATAATGCCTTTTGTTTTGTTCATAAGAGGGCCCCGCCTAATTGAAACATCTACATCCTTTGTTTTGACAAGTGTGTGTTTCTGACATGCATGTAACACCAAGGAGACATAAACACCCAGTGGAACGGCTGGTAAATCCTGTGGTAAAAAGTTGTTACTCAGACTCTGGCTTTAAAGCTTGTTTTTGCATGTAGGTGGAATGTGTGACACAGTAAGGTGCAAGCCTGTGGTTTATTTCTCATGTTTGAGCTTCATCATACAAATGATGTCCAACTGAGAATGTATTGGCACTTCATCCTAGGTCTTCTGAGTGGAGATATGTGAGTGACAGTGACCGGGACAGGCTGATCAAGCGTTGTGAGGACGGGGAGTTCTGGTAAACATCTGAATATACTCTACCTCTTGGGTTTGAACTGCGAAAACACTATAATACTCCAGTAAAAGGAAAAGGCCATTTAAAGTTAAGGATGTGATTTTCTTTGTCCACAGGATGTCATTTTCAGACTTCCTGCGCCAATATTCCCGCCTTGAGATCTGCAACCTGACACCTGATGCCCTCAAAGATGACAAGTTCCAGAAATGGGCGGAGTCAGAGTTTGAAGAAACGTGGAGAAGAGGCGTGTCAGCTGGTGGTTGCAGGAACTTCCCAAGTATGATCAGTTTCTCAATCTTCACCCCAGAACTGGTGTGTGTGTGTGTCTTGGCTGCTGTAACAATGTTGACAAGCTCCTTGCTAACCCTTGCTTTTCTTCATAGATACCTTCTGGATGAATCCTCAGTTTGTCATAAAGCTGGAAGAGGCGGATGATGACTCTGATGATGGTGAGGATGGCTGCACCTTCATCGTGGGCTTGATGCAGAAGAACAGACGCCGTATGAAGAAAATGGGGCAGGACATGCAGACCGTTGGCTTTGCCATCTACGACGTAAGGAGCTGCCTTTAAGATGTAGACGATAATACTCATGTACTCAATTTGTCATATGTATCATTGGCACCAATTCTTACTATTGTTTTTGTCTTTTTCCAGCTGCCTAAGGAGGTATGTATACAAAGATGAAGACACTTTAATACATTAGCATGTTTCTCGGAGCACCAATTGTTGTTTATGGCTCAATTATCTGTCCTTAAAAGTTCTCTAATTACACCAATGGAAGGTTAAAGGCGCCCTTGTGTGACAGTACTGCATGTGTGTCATTTTCCAGTACTATGGCCAAAAGCAAGTGCACCTGAAAAGAAACTTCTTCGTGCGCCACGCTTCAGCTGCGCGCTCCGAGACCTTCATCAACCTGCGAGAAGTTTGCAACCGCTTCTGTCTTCCTCCAGGCGAATACCTCATCATCCCCTCCACCTTTGAGCCCAACAAGAATGGAGACTTTTACGTGCGGGTGTTCTCTGAGAAACCGGCCTCATTCCAGTACGTCTCTTTCACAAATAAGTGCAATTCCTTGACAAAGATTATTTATAATCATTCAATATCTAAATATGATCTCTCACTGTTTTTAGAGAGATAGATGATCCTGTGGACTGCCATGTTGAGCAGGTAAATCATAACCCTTGATGTATATGTTTTTAAAGATTGATTTTTTTTAACAAGGAAGGACAAACATGCATACTTTGTCATGTCTAGATTAACATTGATGAAGATGACATCAGTGACAGATTCAAGAAACTGTTTGGACAGCTTGCCGGAGCTGTGAGTATGCGTAAAATGTGACATTTTGACAATTTTTATTTTTGACATCATCTTATAGTTCCAAGTCATTGTTTCTTTTAACTTACAATATGTCCCTGTCAAATGCTTCTTAGGATGTGGAGATTTCTGCATTCGAGCTGCAGAGAATCCTCAACCGAGTGGTGGGGAAGAGTAAGATAAAGGATTTATCTCTCCTCTTAAAGTAAAGTTCAGTATGTGCATTTCATTATATGACACTCAAAGCAAGTGACCCCTGTGTTTTGATTCATTTTTAGGAGAGGACATTAAAACCAGTGGGTTTTGCCTGACGACTTGCCGCAACATGATCAATCTGCTGGATGTATCCTTCCAACTAATTTATGTCAAGAGAAATCTACAATACAATGACCCTCTTAACATCCTGTGTTTTTTTTCATCTAGCTCTGTAAGAAAGTGAATAAGCATTATATTCCAGTGTCAAACTATCCATTTTTAAGGCTGAAAACGCCTTATTTATGAAAGCGTTCAAGGTTCAAGGCTTTTATTTGTCCTACGTACATAGCTACAGTGTAGTTATGTTGATGAAAATCTTAGGTCACAGGCTTCTCCAACAGTGCAACACAGTAAAACAGAAAAAATGGTGCAAGTAAATACAAAAAAGAAAATAGTAAAATAGTGAAATAGTGCAATAAGAGTCTACAAGTGATTGGAATATTATATATTAGATAAATAATTTGTAAGTTGCAGCCAGATGAATGTTATGGATGTTGTTTCAAAAGTTCAGGTGTTTAACAGTCTTATGGCCTGTGGAATAAAACAGGCCATAAGGATGGCTGCTCCGTCCTGGTGATGTGCTGTGCAGTTTTCTCTGTAAAGCCTTACGATTGAGGGCGGTGCAGATGCCGTACCAGGCCGTGATGCAGCCAGTCAGGATGCACCTGTAGAAGGTCAGGATACTCTCTATGGTGCACCTGTAGAAGTTGCAGAGTATCCTGGAGTCCATGTTGAACCTCCTCAGCCTGCGGAGGAAGAAGAGCCGCTGTTGAGCTGTTTTGGTGATGGTGTTTGTGTGAAGAGTCCATGTCAGGTCCTCAGTGATGTGGACACCGAGGAACCTGAAGCTGCTGACTCTCCACCGTAGCCCCATTGATCGCGATGGGGGCATGTCCCTCTCTCCGCTGCTTCCTGTAATCCACAATCAGCTCCTTGGTTTTGCTGACGTTGAGATGGAGGTTGTTATCCTGGCACCAAGATGTCAGGTTTTCGACCTCCTCTCTGTACGCCGTCTCGTCGCCGTCGGTGATCAGGCCGATGACGGTCGTGTCATCAGCAAACTTCACGATGGTGTTGGAGCTGTGTGTGGCCATGCAGTCGTGTGTGAACAGGGAGTAGAGGAGAGGGCTGAGCAAGCAGCCTTGAGGGGCTCCGGTGTTGAGGATCAGGGTGGAGGATGTGATGTTTCCCACCCGCACTGCCTGGGGTCTGCCCGTCAGAAAGTTCAGGATCCAATCACAGAGGGCGCTGTTGAGCCCGAGGTCTCTGAGCTTGATGACCAGCTTGGAGGGCACAATGGTATTGAAGGCTGAGCTGTAGTCAATGAACAGCATTCTCACATGTGTTCCTCTGGTCCAGGTGTGAGAGGGCAGTGTGGAGCGGGGGGGGGCTATGGCGTCGTCTGTGGACCCGTTTGCTCTGTAGGCAAACTGCAGGGGGTCCAGAGAGTCAGGGAGGGAGGAGGTGATGAATGTTTTGACTAACCGCTCAAAGCACTTCATGATGATGGAGGTGAGTGCTACTGGGCAGTAGTCGTTGAGGCTGGCGATTGTTGACTTTTTGGGGACAGGAATGATGGTGGAGTGTTTGAAGCATGTGGGGACTACAGACTGCAGCAGGGACCTGTTGAAGATGTCTGTGAACACCTCTGCCAGCTGAACTGCACACACCCTGAGAACACGGCCAGGGAGGCCATCAGGTCCAGGAGCCTTGTGTGGGTTAACCCTTTTGAAGGATTTGCACACATCTGCCCTGTTTAAGACAAAAGGGCAGGGCTCCTGATCCTTCTGTGCCTCCACAGCCTGGCTGCTCTTGAATCGTGCAAAAAAAAACTGTTCAGCTCATCTGGGAGAGATGCGCACGCAGACAGTCCCGCAGCACCCCCCGCTGCTCCTTTGTAATCTGTTATTGTTCTTGGTCCCGCCCACATCTTCCGGGTGTTACAGCCTTTGAAGTCAGACTCCACTTTGTCTCTGTATTGTCTCTTTGCACTGCTAATTGCTCTCCGGAGTTCATTCCTAGATTTCTTGTACTCATCTCATGTGTGTGTTGATATTGTTGTCCTCAAACACACACCACTCCGTAGATTCGAAGCAGTCCTGCAGAGCTGAGTCTGACTCCTCACTCCAGCGCTGTATAGTCCGTGTCACCAGTCTGTCCCGTTTCAGTTTCTGCTTGTAAGCAGGCAGCAGCAGCAGCAGTGAGATGTGGTCGCCTCTGGCCATGAAGTCTCTGTCCTGTCAATCACTCCAAACAGCTGATCAAGTGCTGTGTTGTTGTCAGCAGTCCGAAGAAATAATCCCCACATCTGTGCACCAGTTATTGTTTATCATGACACACACACCACCACCTCCCTTGCTTCTCTCTGAATTAACAGTCCGATCCTGGCGAAATATAGTGAAGCCGTCTGGAACAATGGCGGAGTCCGGGATAGCTGAGTTGAGCCAAGTCTCTGTGAAAATGAACACGTTACAGTTCTTAATGTCCCGTTGAAAATCCGACTTCTGAGTTAATCTAGTTTATTTTCCATCGATTGAACATTAGCCAGAAGAATACATAGGCATGTTCCAAAAGTTGATGGGCGATATAAGATGTATATGATGTCTGAAATATATTATAATCAAATATTTTAATGCAAAGGAGATATTTGAGATGTCCTTTGGGTTCATTCATACAATTTTCCCCAAATCAAACCTCGCATATTTGGTATCTTTTGGGATTTTTGGGGGGATCTACACTAGAATTTACAACTGTGCCTTGCATGTTTGGACACATTTAGGCTGCATAGCATAAGATTACTGTGATAAGTGGCCCATCAGTGAAGTCATGTCAGATAGACAACCAAAGCCTGCTCCTTCCATCATAACTGTCCTTGACATACTCTTCAAAGAAAGATGGAACTGGGAAGCTGGGAATCGTGGAATTTAAGATCTTGTGGACAAAGATTGAGAAGTTCCTGGTGTGTTTCTTGTTTGTATTGACATTAACATGCAATGTGTTACAGTATGTTGGTAGTAGGTTGATAATACATGTTAACTGTGTGTGCTCTCCATCAGGAACTGTTCAAAAACAGAGATGCAGACGAAAGTGGCTGTATGAGCGCCTCTGAGATGCGGATGGCTGTTGAGGATGCTGGTGAGAAGTTAATTTCACAAAATATTTGTCTACACAGCCATTGTCCCTTGCAACTGCAAAGGAAAATACTCAGTACATATACAGGGGGTCTGTATTTCTTTTTTTTGTGCACATTCTGTGGTGCGTGAATGGCTTTCTCTTCAGATTCTTTCATTATGTGCTGTTAGATATTATTTTAAATGTCAATTTTTTTGCATTTCGGCAGGTTTCTCTCTCAACAACTCTCTCCATCAGATCATTGTGGCTCGCTACACTGAACCAAACCTCAGCATTGACTTTGACAACTTTGTGTGCAGCCTGATCCGCTTGGAGTCACTCTTCAGTGAGTCTTTCTCATTGTTACCACATTTTAAGCTGTGATCAGATTTAACCAACTTTAATTACAACATATCAAAGTGACACACAATTCAAGTAAGGATTCCTGTCCAAAACAGAATCCCAATGACTAAGAAGGATCTATTAAATTAATGAAATATGTAGAATTAACCAGAAACAGTATTTCCTCTTTCCCTAGCACCTGATTTTATAAAGTGATTTTTTATTTTTTATTTACAACAGACACCTTCAAGATCCTGGACAAGGATGGGTCTGGTGTGATAGAGCTGGGTTTAATGGAGGTAAGAGCGGAGCTGTGATCATGACACAAAACTATAAAGCAATAATTCATTCAACACTGACCCGTTCTTGTGTTTTCATTCACAGTGGCTAAGTCTGTCGATGATGTAGAGGAGCTCCTCTGACTGTTAACTGATGGAGAATCAAGACATGTGTTGAACAGATATCATATCTGAATATTATGGATAAGTGGATTCAAGTTTGGATTTGTATAAAACCTAATCAATGTATTGTGTGGGGGAAATAATTACTATGGGTTTGATTTTCCAGAAACATAATAAAACCGGAATGTCACACAAATGAGAATCCTTTTATTTGGAGTAAATCAATATTATATCCCTTTGAGCAGTTTGCATATGAACTGGAAATAATAATGTTAATAATGTCTTTCTGCCCTCTCAGTTCTTTCTTATCCTAAGAAGTGCACAACAGTTCTGATACTGTTCTCAAGTATTTTTGGTAAACTAAGATCAGAGAAATTAAGACTCTTGGAAATGATATCTTAATTCACAGCTCTTTGTGGTATCTAGCACGTTTCCTTTGATTGAGAGGTTCTTTGCAAGCACTTTCAAAAATGAAACATTCCCATGTCACAGTCTCGAGAAACAAAACACACAGTTTTTGGTAGTTAGGCTTTTAAAATCATGCTAAAATAACATATATGCTATCAAAGAAACATCTGGTTGGTTGGGCTTACGTACTACAAACAAATGTTTGTAGGACTCCTTAAACATTAAGTTCTCAAAATAGGAGGGTACCCTTTGGCAGATTGTTAAACACGACGCCATTCCCCAGTTTCATAACAAGGTATAGTTGAATATTTTTGAAAAATAGTCATCTCAAACAAAATTAGAAGCTTGTTGTAGCCTACAAAACATGTATTGGAAAAACCTGATTCAACTAGCAAGGTAATAAATCTGGGCTCTGTTGAGCTAGCAAAAGCACATTGTCTCCTCTTTCATCAAACTAGTTACCACTAAACATTTGACTTGTGTCAGAAAGTGAGATTTTCCCAGAATAGATAGTAACTATGGATGCAAGTGGACTGATTACCCTGTTGAAAAGTACAAAAGTGAGAAAGGTGAGTTCAAGATAAGCAGACGGCCAAAAGAGCAGTAGTCCCAAACACAGATAAAGATGAGAAGGGAGCAGAAACAACACAATGATATTAAGTATGGCGTTACGGCCTTTGTATCCAAAAGAAGGGCAAACACATTCAAGTGCAGGTCACACAACTCCAAACAAAAGTGCAATAAAGACAAACTGACCAAGGAGCAAAGACAGTAGGTCCAGTTTGTGTAGGCATATCGGCTAACTTACAGGATATTGGGTACAGGAGAGCAGAGCTTTGGTGATCATCAGCAGGAAACACACACGGGCAGGAACTGAAACAACAGCAGAGACTTTCAAAAATAAAACAGGATATCGGAATTGGATACAAAGAAACAGGAATATAACAAAATCTCTGTTGTTGCTGTGTTGTTATGTTTTCCTTAGCATATTGTTGTAAATTCTAGACAAAACAATATCCATATTTTCGTCTTACTATAGTTAGTGTATAGTACTTTTTTTTCCACACAAATCTTTACAAACCGTTACATCTACAAGTGAAAGGAGGTTGGATTTATAGATCAAGGGATTCTTCAAGAAGAACTTTAAAGCGATGTTAAAAGAAGCAGAACTTTATCAAAGTTTAATTAGTCCGGAATGGGGAATATCAGGACCCAAATGCAGTTGAAAAAAGGACAAAAAGGTCAAGGAACAAAAGGCGAGCTTTATTTTAAAAAGCATTTGACAGAAAAAACATGACTTCAGTGTGTACTCACTGGGCGAGCACAAGAGGCCTATTCAGCTATTTGTGGCGAAAATGCTTTGGACTAAGCTAGAGTAAAATCAGCGGTGTTAAAATCATACAAACTGGTTCCTGAAGCGTATCGTCAAAAGTTCAGAAGTTGGGTCAAGGGGGATAAGCAGACAAATGTGGAGTTTATCCGTGATTTGACTTCTCATTTTCAGCGGTGGTGCGCGGCAGCAAAGGTTGCCAGTTTTGACGGTCTTTGTGAACTGATTGTATTGGAACAGTTTAAAGATGTTATCCCTCAGCGTGTGGCCACTTACGTAAATGAGCAGAAGCCTTCCACCGCGCTTATGCTGCGTTCACACCGGACGCGATGCGAATATTCGCTTCGCTCTAATCGCTCCTATCGCATCGCTCTAAACGCTGGAGTTTCACCGCGGCTGCCAGCTGTGTTTACTCGCATCATTCAAACAAGACGCGCTGGCTCGGGAGCTACAACTACAACACAATGAACATATTTTACCGTGATTAAATTATAATACACGTTTCAAAATGATGCCGAAGTAACAACATACTGATACCGGTTAGTAAAAACCATGAATTAATGCTTGACAAGTCTGCAGACAAGACGGCAGGCGAAAAATCTTTTAAAATGCTTGTTTTCTGAATGAAGATCGGGTCGACCAGGCTAAGCTAACGTTGTATATGCTCATTCCACACTCATAACAACGGCCTACAGACATAAATAAACCATCGACTGTATTCGTCATGGCACAGACAGTCTGTGGTTTGTACTTGTTTAACTTTTGTCCAGTTTCTGAACAGATATGAGGAGCTGTGAGCTCTGTGTGCTAACTGCTAACAGCTAACGGCTGATGTTGTGTGGTTGAACGTCAGTGACGGCAGGCTGAGATCCTCACCGCTGATTGGCTTCCGCGAGAACGCGTCACATGAATTTGACGCTCGAGTTGAAAAAATTGAACTCTCGCGTTTAACGCGGCACCGTTCAATCGCCTCAATCGCGTGATTCGCGCCGTGTCCACCGCTTCATGCGCGCCGTCGGAGCGAATTCGCGTCTGTCCGCGTCTCTGCATTGACTTTACATGTAATCCCGCCGCCCCCATACATCGCATCGCGTCCGGTGTGAACGCAGCATTAGAGCTGCCGAATTAGCGGATGATTTTGTGTTGACGCATAAGGGCAGTTTTACAGAGAATTGTTCTAGGGGTGATTGGAGACGTGGAGAAGATGGTGGCTATTCCCGCGGTGGTGCAAAGTTTTCACCAGGCTCCTCCCGTAGATTTGCAGGTCCGGGGCGACCCGAGGGCGCCAGAGTGGGTATATGTAATTATTGCCGAGGAGAGGGTCATTGGAAGGAGCAGTGTCTGTTGCTGGAACCTGAGGGGAAGCCTCGTTTTTCATCACATGCTCCAGCCATGTGTTGTTCTGCCGTTTTGGTTAAAAAGCCGCAGGGTGTAGAATCGGGCATGGTGCCTGATAAGAAGCTGGTTTGTGCCGACTTGGTTGTGGGTTCTGGTTTTGAGCCGTTCATAACGGAAGCCGCTGTATCAGTAGTCGGTAGTGACAAGTATGTTCCGATTAAGGTGTTGCGTGACACAGCAGCTAGATACTCATTTATTGTTGAGTCAGTGTTGCCTTTTTCGTCAGAGACAGAGACTGGGGATTTTGTCATGATGAGGGGCATGGAGATGGGCTTGATTCCTGTGCGACGTCATACAATAGTGCTGGATTGTGAGCTGGTGCGGGGAGTTGTGTCTATCGGCGTGCGTCCCGCGTTTCCACTTGATGGGGTACATATGATTTTGGGCAACGATCTCGCTGGTAGTGCTGTGTGGGCTGGTGTGCCACCGCCTGTGGTGGTTTCCAGGCCGTTGGCATCTGGGGAGCCAGATGAGAGCGGTTTGCAATTTCCAAGTGTGTTTCCAGTTTGTGCTTTTACGCGTGCGCAGAGCCGTAGGATGTCTGCTGACCCGCCTGTTTCGGAGTGTAGAAAAAGTGGTGTTGAACAGGTGGTCTCACTGCCTGATCTCCCTTCGTCTGTGTCAAAGGAGGAGGAAGACGAGGAGACTCTTCCTCACTCAGAGATCCTGGATATATTCGAGGAGGGTCTTGCTCAATTTGTTCAGGACCCTTTACTCTGTGATCTGCCAATTCAGGTACATTTGGAGGAGGTTAATTCCCAGGTTGCGGTCGAATAGTCCAAAAATCAGCTCCTAAGTTCTAACCCTATCGTCTATTCCTTGACCTCTGAGTGAAACGTCACGGGGTTAAGGGATAGTGGATAGGACAATTCAACAGGATTTAGGAGAAGAGACTGCGGTACTTTAGAGAATCCGACTGCACTTTCACTATCCGACGTGTTTATGATACAAATGTATTTATTATAAACGTTAGTCCTTAACATCTATCACTGTGTATATCACCATTCAAACATCTTTTAAAAGTTGAACAAACCCCACACAGCTCAGTAAAGACTGTGAAATGTTGACTTTATTTGATCATTTCAGTCAAAACTAACGTTCATATTTCTCTTTTTGATTATAATACTGATGAACGTTCAAAACAAAGCACTTTGGCAACTTACCACATACGTTTTAAAATGCTTAATAAGCACCGTAACTTTCATGATATCATTTCTCGGTCATAATCGGTTGTTTCCGTGAACGGCCGACTGTGGTGTGACGGCAAATGCCGCGGCCGCAAGGCATTGTGGGGCAGCATGTTCTCCTCTCCTTTCGGTTAGGGAGGTCCAGTGGTTCCTAAGCTAAAGGAGGTTATAAAGGAAGTTTGAAACCTCCTTTCCTTTCATTTAGAGAATTCGAACGGCACTTATCATGGCTGCCACTGAGGTACTTCCGGGTCATTTCACTCCGTTAGGAAGGTTCCTAAGCTAAATGGACTATTGGACCCCAACCCCAGATTGCTTTGGAGTATGGCCAAGCCATGACTGTCCATACTGGACACACACCTGATGGTCAATATACACAGGAGGATGTTGGTTTGTCGTGGATCCCTTTGGGGCCCTGTCTTAAGGGGATGCCCCTGTGGGTTCATCTGGAGAGGGTGTGGCTGTGCTGCATCCAGCCTCCTTGACTGCCTTGATTGCAGTAACTCAGGGCACCTGGGTCTGGTGCCCTGCAGTTATTTAAAGCCTCTGCTCCTCTTTGTCTTCCCTCTGCTTCTCCCTGCAGGCACCCCGGTTTTGTTCAGTATGCTATGAGTTTCTTCAGTTGCTTCACTTTGTGCACTTCAACACTCTCACACTCATACATGTCCATACAATCCTCACCCTGCATTTACACTACTGATACCACTGACATCCACACCTCATACTTTACTTGTTTTGCACTTAATTAATTTGGTTGATTTGAATGTTTTGCTTAAAGTGGACCTATCATGCTATATTTGTATAATATAGTGTTGGACCATACCTATATAAGGCATATTTATACTTTTTTCTTTTCAAAATACCAAACAGATCATGCATTTTAGCCATGCCTC